GGAAAATATATGCTTATATCACTAGAAGAGTTCTTTGCCACCTTGTCTATTAAATGGCCAGGTTCAGCTTTGCATTCCTTAGAATATATTAATCTTAACCTTGTTTTTGTTAATTACAACAGCTGTTTTTGCTCACCAGGCAATTGTTAACCAAAAGGCCTTCATGACTGAGTCACCTTGGGAGAAGCAACATTTAATACTAATGAATCACTGGCATTAAGGGGTAGGGGAAGTGAAACAGCCATTGCCATTTGGAATTGGCTGAATTTGAGGGCAATTAAGACAGACAAATATGCACACTTCAGATGACTATAATAGTGGTGCAATGTATTGGTGATTTTTTAAAAAAAAAGAACATTTGAGGAGAATTACTTCAGGTGTATTTATCCAAGTAATTTTCCCCTTGATGACAGACTGCTTTATTTTGAAGTCTGAGTTTGTTTGGGAACACATGAATATTTGGGAAAGATCAGAGGAGAAATGAGAAATCAGGGTTTGAGTAACCGCAAAGGAGTGTTGGATTGGTCATTGCCCAGCAATAAAAATAATTAGTTAATAACAAGAGAGTTTATGGTCCTGACAACATATCCCTTTGCAAATTTCCAGCCCACCTCAGAAGTTTCTTTTTTGGGTAGTCATGTTTGCATCCTCACTCATTTCAAGCCTTGTAAATAAAAACATGGAACATAGAAACATATGACTTTAAACATGAACAGTGGATAACATGGAAATAAAAGCCATTTTCAAAAGTGACTAGTGATTTTGAGTGCCTCCATTTGGGACACCTAAAAAGTCTGAGTACCTGACCTCGGGAGGGGAGGGGGGGAGGAATCAGGCCTTCAGGATCTCAACTTGGGCATCCAAAAAAATGGAGGCACTCAAAATCATGAGTCATTTCCAAAAATCTTGATCTTATGCAATGTATACTGTCTACAGAGTGTCCCATATTAGTCTAGTTTATGAAGTTTTACAAAATGACATCACATAGAATCATCGAATATCAGGGTTGGAAGGGACCTGAGGAGGTCATCTAGTCCAACCCCCTGCTCAAAGCAGGACCAGTCCCCAACTACATCATCCCAGCCAGGGCTTTGTCAAGCCTGACCTTAAAAACCTCTAAGGAAGGAGAGATTTCATCACCTCCCTAGGTAACCCATTCCAGTGCTTCACCACCCTCCTAGTGAAAAAGTTTTTCCTAATATCCAACCTAAACCTTCACCACTGCAACTTGAGACCATTACTCCTTGTTCTGTCATGCCTAACTGAACAGAACAAGAGTGAACAGATCCTTCACCTTGGCATTCAGTAGGAACGTTGCTCATTTCTTAGCTAATCCCTCTTCAGATTGAACATTTTGCCTTCACAACTGGCAGTCTTAGATGAAAATAGGTTACATCTGATGTTTGGGGCCATGTTTTTGTTTGTTTGTTTGTTTGTTTAAAGATTTCTTGGACTGATAATGGAGAAGAGTACCTAATGCAGTATTTAGATTTTACATGTATTTACTTTACATGTATTTCCTGAACCATGTCTTTTCTTTGCAAGGTTAATTTTCATGTCATTTTTCTATTGTGCACTACTTGCATAATATCTTTGCATAACAAATAGCTCACCATTCCACAAGAACAGGACATTTAGAAACAGAAGTTGCCTCCATTTAGACATAGAAGGACTAAATGATAGAAAGAAAGGAATAGTAATAATTGATCTTAAAATGCATCCTGAAATTTAAAAAAATGCTGTATTCAAGAGCCACCCTCAATGTCTGTCTCATAGGCTTAAGCATTACCTAAATCTATAGGCCAGCCCAGGATAATGACAATTTTCACCACTGTAGACTTTGTGTCAACTTCAACAATGAAATTTCCTCTCTAAAAAAAAATCATAATTACCTGAAGAGACCAATTTTCATTTACATTTTTGTTCCTATACTCTATGTTCCTTGTAAAATATCACTGGGTACTGATGAAATAAAGCATCATTCCTCACCTATTTTATGGGACCCCTCAACAACTAGAGTGCAGTAGAGCATCTGGTGGCTTTGAGAGGTAGATCAATCTCTCAGACACTGATATTTCTTTTCATATAATACGACAATCCAGAGAGTATGCCTGCTTGTCCTAGAATGTGCACTGTAGCATGCAGTCAGACATGAGAGGAGCAGTTTTATGGCATCAAAAGGCTAGAATTAAGAATACTAGCATCGATAGACTCTTTGAACATTATTCTTGCTTTATGTTATGAAACCAGTCAGTTGCTAAGTACCAGTTGAATGATTTTCAAAGTAGCTGAATATCCACAGCTCCCTTTGACTTCAGTGGGTGTTGTGGGTGTTCAGCAACGCTATAAGAATCAGGCCAGAAGCCTATAAAAAGCTGCTTATTTGTTGGTTGGGTTTGGGAAAACCCAAACCAGTACAGTTCATATCTGGATCCCAGTTTACCTGAGCTCCTACGGGATGGTGATAGTGGGTTTGAAAGCTGTTAGTGTTAGAGTTCCCCATTACTAGATGGAAAAAAGGAAACCATCACCAATTCATCTTGCAAAAGTATAGTCTACTTTAAATTCTATTTAAAATAATTTCAAAGCTCTACTAAATAAGAATGATCTATACTGCAAATAGGATTTTTAAAAGTTCTACTTTTCAAAAAGAGCTTAGGAGTTCTAGCCTATGTCTAACTCCTTTAATCTCCTTTGTTAAATCCCATCCTGGATGCCTTAGTGCAAGTCCAGGCACAGTTCCAGGTACATCCCTGGATGTGTTCTGAAATTTCAGCTATATATGTATTGACATTCACTGGAATTAGACACCTAACCATATCTACAAATACACAATGAAGAGGAAAGATGGTTTTGTGGTCAAGGCAATGGACAAACATGAGAACTGCATTCTATTCTCAGCATTATAACAGGCTCCTTGTGTTACCTAACTTGGAGAAGTCACTTTTGTTTCCATTTTCCAGTTCATTAACTGAAAACAGAGAATAATAATATTCCCTTCTTCCAACTCTTGGGAGGTCTTGTATTTACACTGTCATCTCGTTGCGGCCTGGGCTATCTCTTTCTATGTGATTGTGCAGCACCTAGCACAGTACAGCCCTCTTCTCAGTTGGGCCTCAAGGTGCTAATCTATTACAAACAATAAGAAGGCAGCCCTATAACCCCTGACCACTAGAAGTTCAGTTCTCCCAGGTTAATGCAGTTTACAATCAGTTTCTATCTATATGTTAAACACTTCTACATTAAGTACTAAAAATGGGCCAAAAAGTCTTGAATGAGACAGAATGGAACACTTCAATTTTCTCATATCTCAGCCACATTTTCTATTTAGTAGAAACCGGATAGTGTTAGTATTTTGGAGACCATTGAAAACTGCACTTTGAAATTGAGGGAAACTGTGCCCCTTGCCCTCCCCACCTCTGGCACTTGGGTTTAGAGTGTATCCATACATTTCCCAGGTAGACAGCTTCTACTGATAATACATATGTAGCAAGGTGCTTACAAGCACCTATGTGATACATCCAACACAGGATTAAGCTATCAGGTGCTTTTTTTTTTTTTTTTTTAAAGCATGTGTTCAGGCTAGTGGTAATGTGATATACTTCTCCAGTGAGCAGGACACACAAGTGAAGGACAAACACAGGAATGATGTTAAGCAGCCCACTGCAACTTAATATAAAGTTCAACATTGGAGAGAAGCACTATCCACCCATCTCCCCATAGCAGGCATTTAGGTGGATCAAGTGTGGGGTTTACAGGACACATCATATAGCCCATAACTTAAGGTAGGCTCTCCACTGCTTTCCCCTAGCATTCATCTTGCTCTGCTAAATCTTCTGTCCTCTCCTCAGTGTGGAACGTGAGAATGTACCAAGAGGGACCCCAGTCTGAAGGGACTTCAGGTCTGCTGTTTCCCTATAAGTTTGAGATCCACCAGCCAAATCCCAAATGTCTCTTACTTTCTGGTTGTGACAAACTAACTTAATGCAATTCCTAAGTCCTACGCCCATTTAACCTGTGTCTCCATGATTCTATGAGGAAGGCAAAAAACCCACTAGTTCACAGTCAATTTGGCCCCAGTAGGAAAAAAAAATCCATGCTGATCCCTTAAACAGGCAAGCAGGTAAACCCGCAGCAACCTAAACACAGCTTCTTTACTCCATAACTATGGGGAGGCAGGATTCAGCTAATAATGGGACAAGAGGCTTGAGAAACACTTAGGCCAGGGTTTAAATAAATTATTGTAGTCTCCTTGGCTGGCCAATGGGCAGCAGAGCACCTGAAGGAGGGGCCTAGCCCTCTATACTCTTTTTCCTTTATCCTAGAGCTGCCCGGCACTTTGCAGCTCCAATCCAGCATCCGATTCATTAACTCAATGGATAGCAATTTACATGCCTTTTAGATATGTATATATATATATCTCAAGTCCAACTCTGTGGGCACATCTGATTTACTCAGCAATTTTAGTCACTGCTTTCTGAGCATGTGTTAATTTCAGCTTTACATTAATAAGTACATTGACAGTTTGTATGGTCTGCAGACATTTACACAACTTACTTACACAGTAAGTAGAGAAATCATGGATGAATAATTGAGTATAACCCTATTTTTAATATACTGGTAGTTTACATACAAGGATGACTTCCAATGAAGGTGTTGTCATCTTTAAATGTTTCCTGGGTTTCCTCTCTTTTCATATAGACTTGTGTCATATTGGAGATTACGTGTCAGCTGAAATGCTCTAGCAATTGCAGTAAATGTTTATTTTGTTAATATTTGTAAGTTCCACTTTTGAAAATACATTTGCTTCCCCCGAGTCAATGGAGAATCTTTTGTGCAGCATTCCTTGCTATTAGTTATGGTATTCTTGTGTCAAAAGCCAGAATTATCTTGCACTTAATTATAAATGTGGAGGTACAGATAAGTTTTGCATTATGCTGTACTTTAGCAATGAATTATGATCATTGGAGGTGTAACTGTAACATTTCCTTAAAACATAGGTTATTTTCAAGTCTAAGCATAATCACAGAACTAACTCACCCAGCCAATATGAGATTCATGCAGTTCAGAGCCAAAGACTGCTACTCTCTTGCGCTATCAAAGCTGGAAAAGGTAAGGATACCTGCTTTTTATAACTAGGTTAAAGATTACATCAACTTGTCTTATCCCTTATTGGTTTTGTGGTAGGCTAGTCAGAACAGATCGAAACAGCCTTGTAGAAAACCTTTTTCTGAAGTCTACCTGAACTTTAATCTTAAATTTGCTTTCTATCTAGTTTCATTAACTTTACAAAACCTAATTTTAGAAGTATTTGATTTATAGGCTGACACTGATATTGTTCGAGGAAACATTAATTGTACCTGTTTAAAAAATGCCATCCAATATTCTAAGAGGTTATTAGACAATTAATGTGGAAAACATTTAAAGTGACTTGAAACACTTAAAATATATACACTTGCTTTAATATGCATACATGTACTTGAATAACGATAATAAAATATATTGTGCTCCAAGTCAATTTAGTGAGACTATAATTCCATATTCTGTTAACCCTGGGGTTCTCAAACTTGATTATACTGCGACCCCCTTCTGACAACAAATATTACTACATGACCCCAAGAGGGGGGACTAAAGTCTAAGACCGCCCAAGCCCCATCGCCCCAGGTGAGGGAGCCAAAGACAAATCCAAAGGGCTTCAGCCCCAGGCAGGGAGTCTATAACTTGAAGCCCTCTGGCTTTGGCCCTGGGCAGTGGGGCTTGGGCTTCAGCTTCGGCCTCATCCCCAAGCCCAGCAAGGCTAATGCCAGCCCTGGCAACCCCATTAAAACAGAGTCGCAACCCACTTTGGGGTCCTGACGCACACTTTGAGAACTGCTGTGATAATCAATTGCAAAATCTTGGTATCTGTATTTTGCGTTTGCTTTATTTTTTGTAAAAGTTACCCTTTTCTCAGGACCAGTCTCCCAGGGGAAAAATATAAAAAAGCTAAAATATTTATCTTCAGTTTTGTTTAGGGCATGTATCTGGTGAACATGGGGAATAGGGAGGTTTAGACAGAGAAATTCTGGGTTGCTCAGAACAGCATTTGATCAATGGCTAGGCCAACTCTCTGCTGAGTCCTGTAGAAAGTATTTTGTGCAGCAAGTATTCGGTGGAGCTGAGCAAATAATTCATACTGACTGATTTATTTGATTAATTTAGCTTCTTTGTGTTCAGTTGTCTGTGATCAGTTTGTAATTCTCAAATTTGCTATTTAAGAAGATTCACAAAATAATTTCTGTAAATAATTCTTATCTGTAGATTTCTGAGAAATGTTATCATCTTTTGTATTGTGATAGCACCTAAGAGCCTCAGTAATGGACCAGGACCCTATTGTACCAAGTGCTGTCCCCACCCGAAAGAGCTTAATATTTTATATTCTAGTCATGCTGTGATAGTTTTGATTGGACAGGTCACCTGGTATCATTTCTATTCTGTGATCATACAGCAAAAATCATGGAATTAAACTTCTGGTTGTAAGAATTTGCATTTACGAGTTCAAAATTCATTTTCTTTAAATATTTGCAATATTCACTTAAATTTTGCTGCTTCCTTCAACACTAACACAACTAACTAATAGGACTCAAATAGTTCTTATATGCAAGCAATCTGCACGAATCAAAACTTCAGTCACTCACTCAGATACATTCTTGTGCATGACAGGGAACTGCAAAATCCAAGATTAAGTATTAGGAGGGTCAAGATAGTCTGCCACCCTCAGTTATGTCATACCAAGAATGAGACCATAAGCTCTTCTGGTCAGGGACTAAAACTAATGCTTGGGTGAGTCCCTTAATGAGTTATTGACCACTGGCCCCTGCATGAGTTATTAATAGAATGATAACCTCAATAGCTGAAAAGTGATACAGTATACTAAAACCTATGTTATACTGATGTGTTCATGCCAAGATGCAAAATTCCAGAAAGGTATCTTCAGATATATTGAAAGCCACGAGGCAGGTACTCACAATGCTGGGAGGTTCTTGAATTTCAAAGAGTTTCATATTATGGCAACAGTTTAATTGTTAAGACTAGCTCCATTTATTTTTCCACTCTATATTTCTTTTCCTTTGGGTCCCTGTTAGCTATTCATCGCTCTTTGATTAGTGGGCTTTGTTTATTCATTTGTTCCCCATTTTGTTCAATTTCTCTCCTTTCAATTTGTGTTATGCTGCCTCCTTAGAGCATTTCTGTCACCTACAAAGGAGGTTTGCAGCTGTGATTCTCGTATACTAGCTCTTTCCCAGTGGTTTCTGCAATAGTAAAGCGAGATTGGCTAGAATCATGCACTACTAGTATATCTGTATTGCCATATTAGAGCACGGAGTCAATAGCTGGAAATCCCTCAGGGATGTATTCGCATATAGTTTTGTTCTTTGGTGCCCTAGAACCTATAGAAAACTCTGGGCATACTCCAAGATTACAACACATAGCTTGGTGAAAAAGGATACTTACTAGGAAAGTCATTACCACTCTTGATTTACATTTCTGCAGTAGTTCAGTGGGGCTAAAAACCTAGCTCAACTGAAATCAGGATTGAACCCCTTTTCTGTCTGACATGAAAAAGAAGGTCGCTGAAATGTATTGGAAAATTCAGGCTATTGTGCTGAAACATTTGATTAATTTACATGCACATGCAAACAGTTGTGAATAAAGGTTGGATACTGAACAGCAATTTAATTAACTTCCTGTCCTAACTCTTTCAACATAACACATGAGATAAATTGTCTCATAAAAATAACATTTCTTGCTTGGTGGTTGAAGATGCCTACAGTTGATGCTATTTCCCATTCATTTTACTTTTAACAGTCACAATGGAGCATTTCACAGGTGGTGTTATAGTTCATTTGACTTTTCAGAACTCCCTTTTGCAAAATGAAATGCAATTAAAACTTGAGTGAAAGTGATCTTATATGGTCAAACACTCAGCTGTTTGCTATTCCTGGGCTAAGTTCTCCATTTTCAGATAGACTTCAAAGGCTGAGTAGTTGCCTTCAGCTAATGCTTATATACACACATGCAAAATTGACTTCATGGCTTAATGGGCTGCAGAAGCAAGAAATCTGATTTGCAGGAGAATTCCATCTGCTGTTGCAGCTGCAACTTTCATTGCTTTAAAAAAAAAACAACCCCACAATAACCAAACAATCACAGTTGGCATCAGACAAGGCAAGAGCCTTTTGGCCGGGAGAAAATAAAACAGATGATGAAATATGTTTAAACCATATGCCGGGAATAAAATCCTATCTCATCTGATTGTCTTCAAACAGGAAAAAGCAAAGCGGCCATTTTACAGAATCCTTACTAGGACAAATCTTGAAACAAGGGGTAGGAAAGACTTGATTGAGGTTTACATCCTAGTTTCTGGTGACTTCCCGTTAAACAAACTGAATTTATTTGCTAAAGAATTTTATACTTACTATTTATAGGCAATGCATGTTTTCCTTTAATCAGAGAGCCAATACTATTTTAAAATGTATAGGATCATATGTAACCAGCAGATACTCCACTCTTCTCTTTTATCATGAGAAACAAACTGAAATTGGTTTTGAGGGCTAAAAATCTACAGGGGAGAGCTCTGTATATTTGTCCTGACTTTTATAAAGATGATGTGTTTTTTCCCCAGTCTCATTTGAATTGGGGCATATTTCCTCCATTATTTTTTACTACTGTTTGAGTTATAAACGCAGATAATTATATCTGAAATAACATGAGCCAGCCAGTTAGTTTGCAGTAGTGACATATGGGCTGTTTAAAATATCCAAATATGATTAAAGCTGCATCTGTACTTTGGTGTCAATTCATTAGCTTCAATGGAGCTGAAATGATATTCATCAGCTGAGAATCTGACCCTATATTTTAAGCTCATCTCTGTAGAAGAGTTTATCTTTGAATACTTCTCTCTTCCTCTTCATTGCTTTGTATCTTAGAACAAGTTATAAACTTTATTGCTGTCCTTCACTGTGATTTGTATCCTATAAAAAGTTCCCATTTTCTCCCTTCCCACCTTTCCCATGCTAAAGGTTGTTATGTCTCCATTATGAAGGGTTGAAGTCTAAACTGATTTTAATATTAGGAATTCAGTAAAATGCAAATATATACTCCCCAAAGATTATAAATATGAGACAACCCTTCTGAATACTATTTTTCTGGGTTCCGGATCAGTCTCAATGGCAACATGAGCAGTTACCAAGGTTGTCAAAACAGAAAGGACACTTTACTGTTCCTCTCAATATGCCAGTCATTCTGTCAATCCTATAAACTCTTGTATAGCCCCACAGCTATGCCCCCTTCCAGGTTCTTGCACCTTCCTCAGAAGCATGGGGTACTTGCCACTGTTGGAGCCAGGTTACTGTGCTAGATGGATAAATGGTCTGATCAGATGGCGATTTTAACATTGGAGAAGGGTGCATACCTCAAAGTCCGGATCCATCCCTACATCTCTCTATGCCACTGGGTAAGTCTGCACTGGAGATGCTACAATTTCCAGCTTGATTAGACATACCCACACTAGCTCTAAGAAAGCTAGCATGCTAAAAATAGCAATGTAGCCATGGCAGAGCAGGAGGGGCTAGCTGCCAGAGTACATACCTAGAATCTTGGATGGGCTATTACTCTGGACAGCTAGTCCCTCCCACTGCCATGGCTGCACCTCTACTTTTAGTGAACTAGCTCAGCCAGACCTAGTGCAGGACTGGAAATTATACCTTCCCTCTATAGTGTAGACCGGGGTCGGCAACGTTTGGCACGCGGCTCGCCAGGGTAAGCACCCTGGCGGGCCGGGCCAGTTTATTTACCTGCTGACGTGGCAGGTTCGGCCGATCGTGGCCCCCACTGGCCGCGGTTCACCGTCCCGGGCCAATGCGGGCGGCGAGAAGCCGCGGCCAGCACATCGCTCGCCCGCGCCGCTTCTCTCCGCCCCCATTGGCCTGGGACGGCGAACCGCGGCCAGTGGGGGCCGCAATCGGCCGAACCTGCCGCGTCAGCAGGTAAATAAACTGGCCCGGCCCGCCAGGGTGCTTACCCTGGTGAGCCGCGTGCCAAACGTTGCCGACCCCTGGTGTAGACATACT